TACTGTTTAGGTTACTTGAGTTATTTTTTACTAGACAAAGCAACATGGGCATGTGTACTGTTTAGCACAATCGAATCCGCCAAGCACACAAAACCTCCATTAACCATCTGCACACGCTCCCTTTCACTTCACCTGTAAACAGTCCAGCAGTGTTCACTTCATTTGCATTACCTCCACTTGTGTTCTTGTTCGCCTCAGTCATGCTCACTTCCTGACTCATATTAGAAGGGCACAAGTGCAGGAGAGCGTGAAGAGCGTGAAGTTAACGCTTCACCTCAGTCATGCTCACTTCCGATTCTGATGAGTCTCAAATAGATTGCTTCTCCATTGGTACCTTCACCTATTATCACTCCACCTGCAGTAACCTGACCGGACAACACAGTCACAAAATCGTTTCACCTACAGTAACTTCTGATGGTCGGATATGGTCTCGATGAGGAAGCCAGTGAGCCATATAGCCATTCCTGAAGCAGTCAATAAGGGGTATGAGCCATGCACGAGCCATTTCACAAGATGATCAGTAGCAGAAATCACAGCTCCCAAACTGACACGTTTTGATCACTAACAGCTCACTAACACATATGTAGCAGAAGCTACAGCCCCTCACATGACACGTTTGCAATACACACAGCACAGCTGCTACAGCACAGCACAGCTGCTACAGATCAGCACAGCTGCCCACCTGCCACATCTGTAGCAGAGAGCCATTGCGGTTGAGGATGGGAGGCGTTGAGAATGAGCAGCGGCAGCGAGACGAGCAGCACCCACATGCCCTGGCGGGAGGTGGTGGGAACGGATATGAGGGTGAGAGGTGGTGAGAAGGAGATGGAAGGCGATGAGGCAGCAAGACGAGAGTAGCACCCACATGCCCTGGAGGGGGGTGGCAATGGCATGATGAGATGGACGGACATGCATGATTTCAACTCAAGTCACAACAGGAATGGGGTTGGCTAGTGCAGGTGAAAGCGAGGATGACGCGCGGTGGGAACAAGAAAAGGTCAACAAGGCAGAGAGACGATGAGAAGCCGATTCTTGAGTCGACTCAAAAATCGACTTATCACAATGGGGGTGGCTAGTGCAGGTGAAAGCGGGGATGACGCGCGGTGGGAACGAGAAAAGGTCAACAAGGCAGAGAGACGATGAGAAGGGGCATGACTTGGAGAGGGGCCGGGATGAACGAATGGGCACGCGTGATTTCAATTCAATCCCCACCTGCACAGCCCAAGACATCGTGAGGTAAATGGGCTGGTCCCTCACGCACGACACACCTGCACCAAGCAACTATCGCCCAATCCCCACGTGCACCAAACCCATGCACCAGTCCCCACCTATCCCCACCTGCATCAGTCCCCACCTGCATCAGTCCCCACCTGCATGGTCCAGAACATCATGAGGTAGATGGGCTGGTCCCCTGTCAGCAGGCATACATCCCCCAGAACACACCTGCATCTGCATGCATTGCACTGCACCGCTCCCCACCTACCTGCACGGTCCAGAACATCATGAGGTAGATGGGCTGGTCCCTCACGCCATCGAACCGAGAGTCCTTCCCCCTCTGCCACGGGACGGTGGGGAGGCGGAAGCGCGAGCGCAGGGGCAGGAGAAGGAGTCAAACAGGCCATGACCTTTGAGACCGCTTAAAACGCGTCTATGAATCGGTGGGGAGGGAGGCGAGAAGTGCGAGCGTGTGCAACGCGGGAGAAGGAATCAAACAGGCCATGACTTCTAAGACGGCTCAAAACTCGTCTACGAATTGGTGGGGAGGGAGGCGAGAAGTGCGAGCGCAGTACAGGAGAAGGGGGGGGCAGACAAAGAATGCAGTGTGGGAACAGTGGTGCTTGTGTCACTTATGAGATTTCTCAGAGGTGAAACACGCAAGGAAAGGGTTAAGGAGTGCGGCAGTGAAACGGTGGGCAACACAAGGGAGTGGACACCAATAGGTGCATGGGACAATTTTCAATAACTTACTAAGGCGCCTCAATAGGTGCATGGGACAATTTTCAATAACTTACTAAGGCGCCTCAATAGGTGCATGGGACAATTTTCAATAACTTACTAAGGCGCCTCAATAGGTGCATGGGGCAGTTTTCGAGATCTTTACAGGCGAAAGGACTTCTAAGCGGAAGGTAGGCGGAGGTAGAGGCATAGGGGGAAGACAGTGGCGGAGGTAGAGGCGGAGGGGAAAGGTAGAGGCGGAGGCAGAGGCGGAGGGGGAAGGTAAAGGCGGAGGGGGAAGGTTAAGGCGGAGGCAGAGGCGGAGGGGGAAGGTAGAGGCGGAGGTAGAGGCGGGGGGGGAAGGTAGAGGCGGAGGCAGAGGCGGAGTGGGGAGGCAGCGAGGTGGTGCATGGTGCAGGAGAGGAGGGGGGGGGGGGGGGGGACTTACCCGGAGGATGCGGGTGAAGAGGAATGTTCCGAGACGAACGGCCCAGATTGAAACGAGCGATGATGCTACCACCTGATATTGGAGGGGGTGAGTCATGGAGCGAACCGAATGTGATTGCAACGAGGCGTCAGATGAGGTTTAGGATGTGACAACAACGCAGCATCACAGAATGAGTAAAGTGACTACAACGAGGCTTTACCGTGAACGTATAAATGATCCAAATGCGGTTAAAGCGGCTGATGAGAAGGAGAATTTAATGGATCAATGAATGGAAAGGTGAGGATGGCATGAAAGCTGAGGATGGCTTGTAAATTTAGCATTTGATGAACTATTCTGAAGCACCTCTCATAAGGGGAGAAGTCTGACTTCCAACCACAGAGGGAGCAATTTAAAAGATCCATGATAGATACAGTCCAGATGGTCGATGAATGGAGAGGCGGATTCGATAAAGTAACGAGATTAGTACTTGTCTTTGATGGAGCGAGCCGCCTATAGCGAGGGAGAGGAAGGCGCCGAGAAGGAACGTGCAGGATCCGGTTAAATCAAAGAAAAGCTCCGTCTGAATGGATTACGCCGGTAGACGGAATTCGCGGGGAGAAACGGGGAAGAGTTTAGTTGGCTGAACCACCGCAAAAATACCATCCGGTAACACGAGGTAAGGTTTTGGTCTGGTGCTGGCATGATGAGAGGAGAATGAATTTTGCAGAGATAAGCCGACCTGGTAGACTGCGGAGAAGAGGCACGCAGTCCACTGGATTGCGAAATCGAGGAGAACGAACCAGAAAATGACTGCTGCGGGCCCGCTGTTTCCGTGCGACATGGTTGCTGGGTGATCATGGGCTATGGAACGCAGCGGAGGCAGCCGCGTGCAGGAAACTAATTGACAAATGCCCTAGCCAGTATACGCGTTATCACCTACTCACAGGATGTGGATTGAATTAGTGCTGTGTATTTTGTGGGGGAGGATGCGAAATCGCTGTCGCCAACAATTACAATTCTTCTGACGCGTGGGAAAACGAAAAGCCGCGTAACCAGATTTGGAACCTCGAGTTCTCCACCCCAGGCAGCAGCTACACGGTTCTCTTTACCCACACCTGAAAAGCGTGTCTGCAGAATTCAGTTCGGTCCCTACAGTGCACCGAAGAGGGTTCACGAACCACTTGGCTCGTGGCACGGTGTCGGGCAACATCGGCAGTTCCAGGGCTTGCTTGCTAGGTCCACGTGCGACACCCCCAACCCAATCTGCAACAAAAAGCGCGCGAGTCACCTAAGCTGAATTACAGTACACTCCCGAACCAATATGCTAGGTAGATGACACTTCCATCTGGGAAAAAGCGACGTCCGTGCCATCACCTTTCGATGCCGAGCCTCGGCCTGTGGCATGGGTGGAAAACAATTCCTCGATACTGACGATTGTCGTTATTACGCGGGCATTTGGCTCTAGAGAACAACATGAACATCGGTGGTGCCAGCACAGAACAATACGAACCTGCACTGTACAGTTAGGCCGTGTAACATTATCCTTTAACGACCGTCAGTCACGCGTTAAGCTCCTTCCGAGTACACTACGCGGCAAAGAAGAGTATACTGTACTATCGTAACTAACCACCTGATCAGTCTCGGTCTTCGTCAGCCACATTCGCTCGCCACATTCTAACACTACTTAATCTCGTCAAGAAAGGAGGTAACGTTGTTCCATACAGTGCCTTTACATCAGTTCTTAGTCCAGCAACTAGTCACGTCGATGAGGGCCTTCTAGAGAGGCCATGTTCGCTGAAAGAGTTGCATTCAAGCTGAGAGCACATTTTTCGCTGAAAAGGCTGTCATTTCCTCTCTTCTTCTTCACATACTGTTGTATTCGTTGTCGATGGATCAGCACTCTGTTCACTCTTGTCGGTACCCACTCACTCGCAATGTCGCTGACTTGCCTCTCTCAAGTTTCATTCCGTTACAGGAGGGTTCGGAACAAGCTGTTACTAGCCCCCCGGGATCTCCGCTAACCTTCACCAACCCTAATATGATCGACCTTACAGCTGGACCAGTCGGCGACGGAAACTTCGCCGCTCGTGCCGAAGAGTTGTCGCGCGCGACCATATTAGCGACGAATGCGTCGCCATACGACCATGCGAGAGCAAGCGGGAACGCCGGATCCCTCCGCCACACTACGGCCTCTGGCATTTCAAGAAAGATCAAGGAAGAAATGGAGGCTCACGAACCGCAAGCGCGAGGCAGCGAAGCAGTTAACAGGGGGGATAAGTCAGCGGTTGAAGCTGGCGGTATGACTCTGTCGCTGTTCCCCTCCACCTCCCTCCCACCCAACCGTCCGCTGGAAGGAAATCATGCTGTTGCGACCCCCCCCGGCGGAGGTATCTCAGGCGGAGGTTTGACAGGCGGAGACAATTCAAGCAGAGCCATCCATAGTGACAGCAGCGGCGGCCGGGGGAGCAGCAGAGCAGCAGAGGCAGCAGCGGCGATGCCACAGGCAGCAGCGACACAGGCAGCAGCGGCACAGACAGCGCCGGCACAGGCAGCCACAACACAGTTAGCGTCAGCACAGACAGCGACGACACAGGCGGCAATGACGCAGGCAGCACATGTGGCTCAAACGGTCCTGTCCATGTCGCATGTCGTGCAGTCCAACAGCCTCCCCTCAGGCGCGCAGCAGCAGCTTGTCAGCGCTCTCTCCCTCCTCACTGGTTTTCTATCCACCCAGGAGGGAAGCAGAGGAGGAGGAAGGGGCACGTCTGCTGCTGCTGCTGGTCCGTCTGATCCGGCTTCAGGGGTTTCCTCTGGAGCAGCATTAGCTGCGGCCGCACCAGCAGCAACGGCACCAGCGGCAGCGGCAGGGACAGCGACAGCGACAGGGACAGGGACAGCATTGTCGATAGTATCAGCAGGTGCAGGCGCCGCAGCAGCAGGAACAACCGCAGGTTCTGCACCGGAAGCAGCTCCGGTTGCATTCCCTCACGCCCCCACCCTTTCCAATGGTTTTCCCACCCTTCAGTCTATCCCAGCCCTCCCATCTAGCCCAGGCCCCCGATCTAGCCCAGCCCTCCCAACTAGCATAGTCCCCCGATCTAGCCCAGGCCCCCAATCTAGCCCAGCCCTCCCAACTAGCCTAGTCCCCCAATCTAGCCCAGGCCCCCGATCTAGCCCAGGCCCCCGATCTAGCCCAGGCCTCCCGTCTAGTCCAGCCCCCCATCGAAACACCAACACACAGACTTTCGCTGCCTTGGCTGTCCCTGCTAGTACTGACTCCTCTCCTCAACTCCAGCACTTACTTAAAATCCTGGAGGACGGGTCAAGAACCGGCGAGCTTCTAGCAGCTAAGAACCACGCCCGCCTCACCCACTACCTCTCCCAAGCCTCGGGGCTCCTCTCCAGCCTCGGCAGGCAGAGCGCCGGCGCCAACCCGAGCCTGCTTGCCAGCCTCGGTGGCGACCTTCGTGGTTCGTTGTCCAATCAGGGTCGGACAAATGGTTATGGCAGTACACTGGGTGTGGATCCTTCTGCTGCTGCTGCTGCGCCTGGTGCTGCTGCGCCTGGTGCTGCTGCGCCTGGTGTTGCTGCCTTGCCTGCGGCTTCTGCGTCGCCTGCTCCCAGTGCACAGGAAAGTTCGGGCAGGGGGGGTCCCATGTCAAAGCTGCTAGACGTGGCGGCAGCAGCAGCAGCGGCAGCAGTGGTCATGGCAGCAGCAGCCGTCAGAGAGGAAACAGAATCCGCTGAACTCCCTGCAGCATCTGCTGCCTCTGCCCCTGCTGCTACCTCTGCCCCTGCCGTAGCTTCTGCCCCTGCCCCACCTACTGCCGCTGCCTCTGATAACGCTTTCGGTGCTACTGGAATTACAACGGGGAGTGGTGTTTCAGGAGCTGCTGGGACGCTAAGGTCTACGTCTTCCCCCGTGACAGCTGTCACTGCGGTGAACCTTCCAGGCGCAGCAACAACCCTTGTGCCTCCATCCGTTCCTCTTCCTCTTCCTCCTCCTGACGTTGCTCCTATGCCGTATCGCTTGCCCGGTGCTCCTGTACCAGCTCCTGCCCTTGCACCCACCGTAACTCCTCCGCTTGCTGCCTCTACTCCTCCTAATCCAGCCCCCAGCACTTTCCCTTTTGAAGCGCTCGCCCAGTCTCTCGCGCTTGGGGGCCTTCAATCCCACCCCAGCCTCTCCTCTCTCCCCGCCCTCCTGGCTGCTATCTCCGCCCTTCAGCAAGGCAACCGCCTGCAGCAAACCAACGGCCCGCAGCACGCTGCATCACCCGCTTCAGAGCAACAGGGCGCGAGCAGCGGAGCAGGTCAGGGGCAGGGGCTGGTGCAGCAGGGGCAGGGGCAGGCGCAGGCTCAGGGGGAGAAGCAGGGGCAGGTGCAACAGGGGCAGGGGCAGGGGCAGGGACAGGGGCAGGGGGAGAAGCAGAGGGAGGGACAGGGGCAGGGGCAGGGGCACGGGCAGGGACAGTTGCAGGGGCAGGGGCAGGGGCAGGGGCAGGGGCAGGGGCAGGGGCAGGGGCAGGGGCAGGGGCAGGGGCAGGGGCAGGGGCAGGGGCAGGAGCAGGGGCAGGGGCAGGGGCAGGGGCAGGAGCAGTTTCAGAAGCAGCATCAACTCATTCGAGCCGTGTCCTTGCCCGGCCCTGCTCCCTCCCGCTTCTTCCCATCTGCTCCTCGTGACCTGTACAAAGCCTCCTTCCCGTCGCCTCACTCCCCTTCCTCCCTCGCTGCTGCTGCTACCACTGCTGCTGCTGCTGCTGCTGGTGGTTCTGGTGCTGGTTCTGCTGATGCCGCGATTGCTGGGAGTGCAGCAGGGGAATTGAGAGGGGAGGGAGGGGGAGGGGGAGGAACAGGGGGTGTGGGAGGTGAGGGAGGAGCAGTGGCAGCAAGAGGGGGAGTTGTGGAGGGTTCGTTGGCTGGAAACTGGTCTACCAGTCGACTAGACGCACTGGCCCCTGCTGCTCTTAATATCCGAACCGAGCCACTCACCCCTCTCTCCCGTGCCGGCAGCTCCCTGACCTCACGCATAGGTTCGGGAAACGAATGGACGTGGGGACTAGGTACGGAAGCTGCTCCGGCTGCTGCTGCCGCTCCTTCTGCTGGTGCTGCTGCTGCTAGTGCTGCTGCTGCTGGTGCTGCTGCCACTGCTGGTGCTGGTACTGCTACTGCTGCTGCTGCCACTACTGCTGCTGCAACTGCTGCTGCTACTGCTGCTGGGTCCTCTGCGGGTGCTACCCCATGCACGAGCAGCAGCAATCCCGCTGGTTCCAACACAGCAGCACCAGCAGCAGCAGGGCAACCCCCCCTCTGGCATGGAAGCCGCAGGCAGAGGTTCCTGGCTCGACAGGAATCAGCATCAGCAGAGGCACTAGATGCTTCAATCAACCCTAATTTCACCTCTTCACGCCTCCGGCGGCTTTGCTCGGCTGAAGCGGGGTTCGAGACGCCGCAGACCGTTGGATCGTCGTCCTCGCGGCTCCGACGGCTGGGATCGGCGGAAGGGTCGCGCCGGCTGGGGGATGCTCTGGGCGGAGGTGGGACTGGGAGAGGGGGAGGGGGGGGGTGGGGGAGGGACAGGGGGAAGTGGGGGAGGGACAGGGGGGAGTGGGGGGAGTGGGACTGGCGCAGGTAGGAGTGGGGGAAGCGGGACCGGGACAGGGGTAGGGGGGAGTGGCGGAGGGGCAGTGGGGAGTGGCGGAGGGGCAGGGGTAGGGGGGAGCGGGGGAGGGACAGGGGGAAGTGGGTCTGGTGGGAGTGGGAGAGGGGCAGGGGGAAGTGTGGGGGCGGCAGGAGGGAGTGGGGGCGGGGCAGTGGGGAGTGGGGGAGGGACAGGGGGAAGTGGGAGCGGGGCAGGGGGAAGTGGGTCGGGGGCAGGGGGGATTGCGGGAGGGGCAGGGGGGATTGCGGGAGGTGGGATTGGGGCAGGGGCGAGTGGGGGAGGGGCGAGGGGGTTGGAAGTTCTGGAGAGTCTGCGGGTGCGGCTGCGGCCGCAGCTGTCTGGGCTGCTGCAGGAGCAGCAGGAGGCGGCGCTGCGACTGAAGCAGCTCCACTCACTGCAGCAACAGCAGCCGCAGCAGCAGCAGTTGACTGCTGCTGCTGCTGCTGCTGCGTCTGCCTCTGCTACTGCTTCTCCAGCTGCCCGTCCGCACTCACCTTCTGCTGCTGCTGCTGCTGCTGCCACTGTTGCTGCTGGTGGTGGTGGTACGACTTCAGCGGCACCAGTAGTCCCGCCATTCTCTCCTCCCCTCAACAGCCCACCGTCACAGCCACTCAGCAGACTGCAGAGAGCAGGACCAAGCATAGACCGTTTGAACCTACACGGCCCTTCTGCTCTGCCTCCTCCTCCTCCCCTTCCGTCTTCTCCAGGAGATGCCCGCATGCGGGGGGGGTTGCAGCGGTCAGGGCCAAGCATAGACCGCCTTAACTTTCAAGGCGCTGCTTCTGCCATCCCTCCGCCCCCTCCTGCTTTTCCACAGGGAGATCATCGTCCCTCGGGGCTGGAAAGTGGGGGGGTGCAAAGGCCCGGGTTGCAAAGGGCAGGGCCCAGCATAGACCATCTGAATCTGGAGGCAGCAGGGTTGGCTTCTCGCGCTGTTGCACTGCATAGAGCAGGGCCGAGCTTTGGCTCTTTGAGTTTCCAAGGGGAAATTCCCCTCTACAGGGGAGGTTCTGTTACAGGGGGAGGTCCCCCTACAGGCGAAGCCCGCCTCTATAGGGGAGGCTCCGTTATAGGAGATATATCTCTACAGAGGGGTGGTTTGCCTTCAGGAGAGGCTCCGGTTTACAGGGGAGGTTCTATTACAGGGGAGGTCCCACTGCAGAGATTAGGCAGTGTGGGTACCCCGTGGGAGCAGGGAGGAGGAGGTGGGGTGCTTGGAGGAGGGGAGAGCGGGGTAAGAGAGGGTGGGATAGTAGAAGGATTAGAGGGTGGGGCGCGGATGGGAGGAGCGGGAGGTTCTGAGGGAGTGGGGTGTGGGGTAAAGCGGGGATGCGGAAGTATGCAGGGCGATGGGGGGGAAGGTGGAGAGAGAGGGGGGAAGAGGGCTAGGGGTTTGATACGCAGCAGCATGGCTGATACTGCTGGTCCCGAATGTGATGCTGCTGCTGCTGCTGCTGCTCCTGGTCTTGCTGCTGCTGGCAGCAGCATCCCATCCTATGGTGCCACTGCTGCTGCCCCTGCTGGGTTTTTCAGTGGGAGACGAGTAGAAGGAGGACCACCCTCCCCTCCTCGGCCCCTCTTCTCCTTCCCCTCCGTCTCCCTCTCTCTTGACGACATCCCTTCAGCCGTCCCTGCCACTGCTGCCACCGGAGCTATCGATAAAGCCGAAGCTGGCCTCCGCCCTGCTGGACACAGGCCGTCAGGCTTGGGAAACTCAGGCTCGGCAGGTGCAGGTGCGGGGGATTTTGGCTCGGGAAGTCCAGGTCTGGAGAGTGGAGATTTGGAATGGAGGGCGAGCATGGGGTGTGAAGCTAACAGCATGGGTGTTTTCAAGGGGGGAGGAGTGGGATTGGGGACTGGCATGGACATGGGGGTGGGTGAGCAAGGGAATAGGGGGGGTGAGGGAGTGATTTTGGGAGATGGTGAGGGCAGGGGAGGTGTGGGGTCCAGCAGGTTAGGGGCTAGTGGTCTGGGTTCTGCTGCTACAGCTGCTGCTACCGCGTCTGCTACAGCTGCTGCTGCTGCTCTTGGTGGTGCTCTTGCTGCTAGTCTTGGTGCCGCGAGTCCGAATGCTGCTTCTATCGGTGCTTTTGCTGGTGGTCCCACTGGTGCCTCTTCTGGTGGTTTAGCCCGTTCGGGCAGGGCTGGTGGGCTGCTCCCTTCGAGTGGCTTTACTGGCAGCGGATTGGGCGGCAGCAGGCTGGCCGGCAGCAGGATGGGCGGCGGTGGGCTGGCCGGCAGTGGGTTGGGCGGCGGTGGGCTCGGGGGGAGTGGGCTGGGCGGCGGAGGGCTGGGCGGCGGGTCGCGGTTGGCTCGTAGCGTGGTGTGGAGCAAAGATCAGCTGAAGGAGATTGAGCAGATGAAAGAGACTATGGCTGAGATGGACGAGGAGGGGGAGGCGGCAGGTGCTGCACGGGAAGCACGGTTAGGGGAAGCACGGTTAGGGTTAGGGGCATGGGCAGGAGCAGGTGCAGCTGGAGGAGAGGGAGCAAGCAGTGGCGAAGGGGCCAGAGCAGCGGCAGGGTCGTGGGCTGGTGCTGATGCCTCTGCTGGCAAGACGCTGACTGGCGATGGGGGCGGGAGGCGCCTGGAAAGAGGACGGAGCGGAGTGGGGAAAAGTGATGATTGGGAGGGGTTACAGAGGGGAGAGAGCTTGGGGGGGGAACTGGGGGGAAACAGCTCAGGGTTGGACTTGTATTCGTTGGATGGGGTGGGGGATGAGGGGCAGGCAGGGGGCGGCAGGGACGAGGGAAGGTGGGGGAGCGATGGTGGGGAGGATGGTGAGGGTATGGAGGGGGAAGGCATGGAGGAGGAGGAGGAGGAGGACAGGATGGATGCGCACGGTTACAACAATGGGCGGATGGACGGGGGTGATTTGGGCGGGCGGATGGAGGGGAATGGGCTGGGCGGGCCGGTGGACGGGTGTGCGAACCGCAAGCCGGGGCCGAAGCGGAAGGAGGGGCCAGTCAGCCACTTCTGCCAGAACGCACGGGTGAGTGCTGCTGTATCTGACTTTTGAGGCGCCTCAAAGCTGCCAGAACGCACGGGTGAGTGCTGCTGTATCTGACTTTTGAGGCGCCTCAAAGCTGCCAGAAACGCAGGGGTGAGCCCTTCTGTCCCCGCAAGGCCATTCTTATGGTTGAGGTTTTAGTCGACTCAGAGTTATGCTGAAGCGGAAGGAGGGGCCGGTCAGCCACTTGTGCCAGAACGCACGGGTGAGTGCTGCTGCTGCCCCCGCCAGGCTGTTTCCACGAGGCTGTTTGCGCGAGGCTATTGCAAGGGTGAGTCTGAGTCGACTCAAAGGTCATGCCGAAGCGGAAGGAGGGGCAGGCACACAGGTGAGCACTTCTCTCCCTGCAAGGCTGTTCTTCTCTCCCTTCCTCGTTCCTTCCCAACACACGCCTCATCAGAAACGACCAGGGCCCAGCAATGCTGCCCCCATCCCCTTTCCTTCATTGCTCCTCCCCCATCCCTCTCTCCCCACCTTTCCCCCCACCCGTTCTCTCCCCACCCAAAACACCATTTCAGAAGCGGAGGGAGCGGCTGACAAGACATATCCGGGCGCAGGAGAAGCTGGTGCCTCAGAGGGCTCGCAGCGACCCCACAGCAACATCCCTCCCTCCTCCTCCCCTCCCCCCCCCTCCCTCCACCTTTGTCTCCCCACACATGAAACCCTATCAGAAGCGGAGGGAGCGGCTGACGCGGCACATCCGGGCGCTGGAGAAGCAGGTGCCACAGAGGGCCCGCAGCAGCCAACACAGCACTGCTCCTACTCCCATTCCCCTTGTTGTTTTTCCCCGCTCCACCTTTTCAGAAGCGGAGGGAGCGGTTGACGAGGCACATAAGGGCGCTGGAGAAGCTGGTGCCGCAGAGGGCTCGCAGCGATGCTGCCTCCGTTCTCGAGTCCGCCATCTCCTTCATCAAACGCCTCTCCCGGGACAACCAGGTGCGTGCACCAAATGTGTGAAGTGCTGCCTCGTGCACCATGTAAGTGTCAGTGACATGCTTCCTTCCTTAGGCACGAGGGGTGGCATGGGATAGTCGATACTTGAGGCGGTTCAAGCTGCCTCTGTTCTCGGGTCCGCCATCTCCTTCATCAAACGCCTCTCCCGGGACAACCAGGTGCGTGCACCAAATGTGTGAAGTGCTGCCTCGTGCACCATGTAAGTGTCAGTGACATGCTTCCTTCCTTAGGCACGAGGGGTGGCGTGGGATAGTCGATACTTGAGGCGGTTCAAGCTGCCTCTGTTCTCGGGTCCGCCATCTCCTTCATCAAACGCCTCTCCCGGGAGAACCAGGTGCGTGCCGCTGTGCGCTCTCATGCACCAGGTTGGTTGGGAGTTGCCGTACTTGAGGGGCCACAAGCTGCTCCTCTTGTCCAGGTGCGTGCTGTTCCAGGTGCGTGCTGTTCCAGGTGCGTGCTGTTCCAGGTGCGTGCTGTTCCAGGTGCGTGCTGTTCCATGTGCGTGCTGTTCCAGGTGCGTGCTGTTCCATGTGCATGCTGTTCCGGCCCTCATCTGAGGCCCAGCCAGCACACCCCATCCTAACACCTGCCGATTCTCCCCCTCCCCTTTCCCCTCTCGCCCTTTCCCATCACGGGATCTGCGCAAGGAAGTGGCGACACTTCGCCCCTCATCTGAGACCCAGCCGGCACACGTCATGCCAAGACCTGCCAATTCTCCTCCCTCTCCCTTCCCCTCTCCCCCCTCTCCATCACAGGACCTGCGCAGGGAAGTGGCAACGCTCTGGCCTTGATCTGAGACGCAGCCGGCGCACCGCATGCCAGCACCTGCCAATTCTCCTCCCCTCTCCACTTACACAGGATCTGCTCAAGGAAATTGTGATGCTTCGGTCCCTATCTGAGACCCAGCCAGCACAACCCATCCCAACACCTGCCAGTTCCCCCACTCTCCCGTCCTCTCTCCCCCCTCTCCATCACAGGACCTGCGCAGGGAAATGGCGACGCTCCGGCCTTCATCCGAGGCCCAGCCGGCACACTTCATGCCAACCCCTCCCCTCGCTGCCACTGCTGCTGATACTGGTACTGGTACTGGTGCTGGTACTGGTACTGGCACTGCTTCGGTTTCTGCTGTTCTCGATGCAGCTCCTTCCTCTGCTGCTGTGTTGGGTTCTCTGACAATCCCTATGGATCCCTCTAGTCGTGCACTTGTTGCTTCTTCTGCCGCTGCTGCTGCTGGTGCTGCTGGTATCGCTGCTGCTGCTGCTGCTGCTGCTGCCAGCCCTGTTTCTGCTTCTGCTTTTGCCCTTGGTCGTGGGTGCAGCAATGCACTCTCAGATCCCAGTTAATTGAGTTATGTACAGTGCATTCTCTGTATTTTGCACGGATGGGAATGCAATGCAATGCCGTTGCGGTGAGAGTGATTGGTGCTTGCTAATCGGTGGTTGTGCTACCCTTCTCATTCATTGTGTGATCCAATGGCCGATGTTGCTTTTGCAGACCCAAATTTGCAGTACAGGTTTCAGCCTATAAACCCTACATTCAGAATTATTGCTCGGCAAAATAACAAGGCCTTCCGTGCAAAGCCTGCCTCGCGACAACGGTAAGGTAATATTCTATGCTATATTACTGCCTTCATAAAAGAACCACTACCATGCCACAGTGTACCGTTTATCTCATACTTATGTCATTCGGTTGGCTATGGAATACTGTACATGCACCTCCTCATTCGCAGGTGCATGACTGACATCCTTCGTCTCCCCGCCTGACAACTTGACCCATCGAGATTCTCCTGTCAGCTACTTTTCCTTCGCGCTACCTAGATTTCTTCGTGTCGCTCCCCCGAAGTGTAGCTGAGGTCACCATGGCTCCTCGGCTCAATGAGGAGCTCATTGGCACGACTTTGCGCGAGGCGTCTTCTCGTGATGGCCTCGACATGGCGGTGTTACCGTTCCGCGCGAACTTTTCGTCAAATGCGGCGACGATCTACATGCGGACATGCACGTGAGGTTGCGACATCGAGTTGCGATGAAGGTCGCTTCGAGCACACGACTGGTCTCGTGATCTTACAGTCAGGCGACGTGTTCGTCGGTTTCGAGCACCCTAATGGCAGCCCACTGCCATTACAATCGGTTCGGAAACTCGTGCATGTCAGTGTCCCGCCGACCAAGAATGTGATGGGATTTCCTTCGTTTCTCGTCAAGAATTGTCAAGGTGATGCCTGTGATTCCGAATGAGTTGTCGTTATCGGTCTTAACGAATTCACCAGCTTCCTGCAATTGCAGGAAAATCTAAGCTTCCGGAAGGTTCTAATTATGAGGCACGTAAAAAATAGCTTCCACGAAGCAATGAAGCAGTTCTGCTGTCCCAGAGGTTTTCCTGGTCAGGATTCGTTCCGCCACCAGTCACTGCATGAAGACCCCACCCATGAACCCTACACGTGATGCCATCCATCAGGCGCCGACCCAGAATTGCGTGTCGCCAATTCAGCTCGATCCTGCGACCCCTGCAAGATTCCAACTCGACAATCATCAAGACTGGATATGATTCTCGCCGAAGCAGGGTTTCCAAGGTTGTTTTCAACTTCAGGCATCATCCTTGCTCACAGACGCACGAGCCGGAAACCCACTCGAAGAAGCAAGCAGCCTCAGCGGATGTAAGTTCATCAGACGACGGGACGCTAGAAACCGAGATTTGTGTTCTCTCCTTCCGTGTTGTGGAAGCCGATTCCGACTTGGATTTCGTCGTCACCACAGCTTTTCTCTTTCAACTAAACGCTTTTGTTTGAGTACCAACCAACTGGCACGCTGAGCTCAGGACCCTATTTGGCTTCTTGTGCAGTTCCAGAGGTCATTGCAAGGCCGTAACGGTCAGGAACTGGAGCTGGATTTCATTCATTTCCTTGAAAGTTGGACTGAAGTTGGTATCTGGCGAGGACCAAGAATTTCGCGCCGGTAAAAAGTTGAAGAAACACCCGACTGACAGAACCTCTGCGTGAAGGGAGGCGGATTTAGCAGCTCCTCGCGAGTATCAGTTCTCACAACCAAGCCACGCGTCTCGCTACCGGTGAGGAGTTCTGCAGCATGGATCCCACGGAAGTCCACGCGGATTTTGCGGCCTATTCTGCACCCCTTGCTCTCCCGCTAGCCTTCGCCGCTGGCGCTCCAATCCAAGACCCTTCCCTTGCGTGTGCACCTGTCTGCCCTGATCCACTTGTTCGTGGCCTTGCTGCTGCTGCGACTGGACCTTCTCTGTCAGAAGCACATCTGAATTCTTCCTCCGGGCTGTTTTCCGTTCCGGAAGGCTTTCACTTTGCTGCTAAAGCTTTGTCATCGCCAGGGCTCCTGGCTGTACTTGATGAGCCTGTATCCCCGTTACAAGCACACTGCCCTATGGCTGTAGCGCCCCATGCGTCCCTGGAGTGTACGGCGGAGAGTAATCTGGCTCGTAGCCTAACCAACAGCCGTTGCAGGAGGGCGCGTGAGAACCCGCAGGTGCAACCGCATGAGGAGTTTGAGAAGCTTCCAGAAACGAGGGAGATTGAGCATGAGAGACACGGAGGAGGAAGAGGAGGACGAGGGGGAGGGAGAGGAGGAGGGAACCAAGGGGGGAGAACAGTGGGAAGCAGGGAATATGGAGATATGGAGAAGAAAGACGGATTTATGGCTGGTGCAGAGGGAGGGAGAGCACGGGGGATGAGCATCGAGCAGCTTGAGGTGGAGGCTGGGAGGACAGACGCTCGGCCTAAAAGTAGTTCTTGGCTAAGTGGCAGTAGACGCAAGAAAGGTGGAAACTCCAGGAAACAGCAGCGGTTGCTTCCCAGCGAGGATGAGGTGAGGGAGGCTGCGACTGATTGGCCAACGCTCGGGGCCACTTTGAGACGAGCCCTTCGCTTGGGAGGGGCTGGCGGGGATGATCAAGCGGGGCAGGGGCCAGGGGCATCGCAAACAGGAGCTGCAGTTGAAGGAGCAGCACTGGCAGGAGTGTTGGCAGCAGGACCAGCGCTGACACATGGTTGGAGCTTCTGTGAAGGGCTGGGAGGAGCTGAAGGAGCAACAGGTTTGACAATGAACGAGGCAACGATGTTGCTGCAGGAGCAGCAACCTGAAGTCCATGAGGAGGAGCCTAAAGTGGTCATACACCTACGCACTCAGCATCAGCGGGAGGAGGAGGAGCTGCAGCGGCAGCAACAGCAGCAGGAGCAGGAGCAGCAGCAGCAGCAATCTTCTCTGTTACCTGCCAGTAAAATGGCAGGGATTGGAGGGCTGTGGAGGCCAGGGTGGCTGGGCGGCAGTCCCAAGGTGATGGACTATGCGTGCAGATTCTGTGGCAAGGGATTTGATTCTCCTCGGGCGCTTGGAGGGCACATGAAACTCCACAGGAAAGGTGAGGCTGGCCCACTCATGTGCGTGTGTGGGTGTGGGTGTGCAGACGTGGTTTCATGTGTGTTTGTGTGTGTGGATTTAGGTGGGGGTGAAGTGGCGGAGGGAGGGGGGGTGCGTGCCTACCTGCGTGTGTGCGTGCGATGCCCACTTGTTGCACTTATTGCAGTCATTGATTTTTTTTCTCTCCTTGCACTCATCACACACTTCTTGGTCTTGTGGCACTCCTTGTGCTTGTTCCTATGTGCAATGGCCAGAGCGCAAGCTAGAAGACGAGTTTTTGCAAGAGGCCGAGGCTCAAGCCAGGGTTGAGCTACAGCTGCGCCAACAGCAGCAGCTACAGCTGCTTCTGCAGCAGCAACAGCAGCAAGAGCAGCAGCAGGAGCAGCTGCACGAGCAGCAACAAGGCGTGCAGTTACACGTTCAGGAGCAGCCGCTAGTGCTGCAGAACCTGCAGAGCCAGCAGCAGTGGCTGCTGCAGCAGGCAAAGCAGCCACGACTCCAACAGCAACAACTCGAGGAGCTGCTTCAGCAGCAGCAGCAGCAGCAGCAGCAGCGACTGCGGACAGCAGCACAGACAAAACCGCTGCAACTGTCATCTGAGTTTACCCCAAGGCAGCAACAGCAGCAGGTCATTTTTGGGGCACACCGGTTCTCCCGTGGAGTATCCCACAGCACTGGAAGCCGAGCGTCTGCTGAGAGTCCACATGGCCTGCCTGCTGCAATGGGTGCTCTTTCTGCCATGAATCAAGGCAGGTGGCCGGAGGAGCATATGCAGATTGATTCACAACAGCTGGAACAGCAGCTGCTGCAGCAGCAGCAGCAGCATGAGCAGAGGCATGAGAACCAGCGTCAAGAGCAGCTGCAGCTGCTGCAGCGTCACCTGCAGCAGCACCGGCAACTGCAGAGCCTGCAGAAGCAGGAGCAGCAGCAGCTGCGGTGGCAGCAGCATCAGCAAGACGAGCAGCCGCAGCAGCAGCAGCAGCAGCAAATGCTGCAGCAAATGCATCACCACCATCATCAGCAGCAGCAGGGGAATAAGCAATCAGGGTTCATGCAGCCAAGGCCAACTAAGGCTGTTCCCAGCAGGCCTCACCGGAACGTGTCTTCGTCTCTTCCCCACACTCCCACGACCCGGCCCCCTCACACTCCCTCATGGCCTCCCACCCAGCCTCCCATGGGCCCCTCCACCCACTCCAACCCATCTCCACCGCACCATCCACTCCTCCCTCCTCCTTCCGCAGACCCCTTTCTCTCCACCCTCTCCCCGGAGGTCCTCCAATCTCTCTTCCTCCGTTCCTGTCCCCCTGAAACAGCCCCTGCTGTCCCTGTAACACCTTGTGCGGTTACCACCGCATCCTCTTTCGCACCTGCCCATCCTGCTTCTGTTCCTCCCTCGCTTCCGTGCCTGCCTTCTGCTGCAATACCACCACTTACCCTACCGCCAGTTGCCATTCCACCAGTTACCACCTTTTCTCAGCATCAGTCCCCTCTTGCCCCACCTGTACCCGCTAGTCAGCTGCGAGCAATACCGCCTGAACTGCTGGCAGCCTGGGTTACATCTGCTGTACTTCCTGATGTCGTTACATCTGGTGTTACATCTGGGGTTACATCTGGGCGGCCAGTGTCCGCCCCACCTGTTACACGAGGAGAGCAGGAGCAGCAGAGTGTCGTGGGGGGGACGCAGCAGCAGCAGCCGCAGCAGAAAGTGTTGAATCAAGAAGAGCAGCAGCAACGGTGGTGGCAGCAGCAGCAACAGCAACAGCAGAAAGTGTCAAATCAAGAGCAGCAGCAACAGTGTTGGCAGCAGCAGCAGCCAATGGAAATTACAGGAGAAGTGACACGGAAAGGGGATTCTTTGCCAGTACGGGCAGGGGCAGGGGCAGGGGCAGGGGCAGGGGCAGGGGCAGGTCTAGAGCCAATGCAGAGCACTGGCGGGGATGATGTGGCATGGCTGCGACCACATAGGGGACAGCTGGACCTGCAGCACGTGCAGCAGCAGCAGCAGCAGCAGCAGCAGGAGCAGCAGCAGCAGCAGCAGCAGCAGGAGGAGTTGTTGGCTCAGCTGTTGGCCCTGGCCGAGCAGCAAGCACAGCCAGGCATGGATGGAGTGTTGGAGCGATTGGGAAAGGGAGAGCAGCAGCAGGGGGGGAGCAGTCAAGCAGAAGTATGTGTGGGGCCACAGAATGTTGGCCGAGGAGGAGTGGGAGGAGTGGGAGGAGCGGGAGGAGCAGGAGGATTGGGGGGAGTGGGAGGAGTGGGAGGAGTGGGAGGAGTGGGAGGAGTGGGAGGAGGAGAGGGGTCTGTGCAATTCTAGCGGCTTTGGATTGGCTGCCTGCAGCCTCGCACCTCCATGGCTTGTCTTTGCCTTCTGTGACAATCCCTGGCGTGACTATTCTGGATGTGAATATGCCTACTGTCACTCTGCCTGGTTCCTCTCCTGCCATTCCAAACCTCACTTCTGGGTCTCTTGCTTCTGCCATTGCTTCTGCTCTTGCTGCGGTTACACCTTCCGCATTCATACCGTCACTGGCTAAGCCTTCTCTGACTACGCCTTCACTGGTTACGCCTTCACTGGTTACGCCTTCACTGGTTACGCCTTCACTGGTTACGCCTTCACTGGTTACGCCTTCACTGGTTACGCCTTCACTGGTTACCCCTCCTCTGCTGACGCCTTCCCTGGTTAGGCCTCCACTGCTTGCTGGGTCTGCCGTTACAATTCCTGCTGCCACTGCTCCCCTGGTCACTCCACAGTACGGCTCTTCAGCTGGTGGTGGCGTTACATCTCATGGTCCTTCACGTGCTGCCTTTCCATCTCCTAGAGTCCATGCCAACATGGAGTTGATTCCGCCTGCCTCCATCGCAGCGTGCCAGCAGCACTCCCTCTCCTCCTTGCTGCCGCCTGTCTTTTTCCCTCAGCCCAACTTGGTGCAGCAGCAGCAGCAGCAGCAGCAGCAGCAGCAGCAGCAGCAGCAGCAGCAGCAGCAGCAGCAGCAGCAGCAGCAGCAGCAGCAGCAGCAGCAGCAGCAGCAGCAGCAGCAGCAGCAGCAGCAGCAGCAGCAGCAGCAGCAGCAGCAGCAGCAGCAGCAACAGCAGCAGCAGCAGCAGCAGCCATTGACTTCTCGGGCCGCCATGAGCGAACAGCAGGAGGCTGGTGCTCTGACAGGGCAGTCATTGCCAGGCGTGGGTGCAAGAGGGAGTGAGGAGGACGAGCTGGCATAGCTGGAACAGCTTCGCCAGTTGCTGCTCTTACAGGAGCAGCTTGTAAGGGATCAATCCAGGGGGGAGGGGTTTCAGTTGAGGAGGGAAAGGTTGGTTGGGATGGAAGGTGCGGAGTGGTGTGATGAGTTGCAACAGCAAGAGGGTAATGTGGCAGCGGAGCATGAGAGGCAGTGCCGTTCGGAGGAATAGGAGCAACACACAACGTGGGTGTTGTCTCGGAGGGAGAGACGGAGGGATGTTGGTACTCCCACACTTGTTCCGAAAGTACAAAAGTACTCCCACACTAGGAGTAACGAGGAATAGAGTGCAAATGTTCCGAAAGTGGTTGATTCTTACGGTACCTCCGAATTGATGCTTTGTGTTGATGGTAGCGATAGGCATGGTGGTATGGGTAGGTCTGCCGAGCGAGGGGGAGATCAAGGCGGCTGCTGCTAGCGATGATGACGAGGCTCTTACTGCTCGCCTGATCGCCGCAAGGCTCCTTCCTGCTTCGTCTGCCGCTTTCACAGGTGACTGACTGCTTCTGCACGTCTGGTTTTACTCGGCTTGAGAGCCTATCTCGCCGCGTTCTCTCCGTCTCATGGTAAAGGTGTCTGCTTTGGTCTCTCTGCGGATGCCCTGAGGGTATCTGCCTGTTGCTTTGTCCGCGTTTTGCTTGTTAGCCTGCCTTCTTACCCTTTTCTGAATCTGTGTATGTTTGTTGTTCCCTGACGTGACGCCACTGCAGCAGGAGCGCGACAAGCCATCATCCATCAAGCACAGAAACTTGCAGCTTCAGGACCCCCTTTGGACCCCCTCAGGCCCCGTCCTTCGCCCTCGGTTCTCCCTCCCTCCTTAATTTTCACCGCAACTGCTCGTCTCGCCTCCTCTCAACTGCCTGTGCCTGACACGACTTCTTTAAACTCCCTCCTCCTCCTGGCGCTACGCACCACCCACGCGGGCCTTTCTGCCCAGGGCCTTTCTCCCCAGGTTCTATCGTCCAGCTATATGAAGCATTTCACTGGGGACCTTCCTGTGCAATCTTCCAGCCATGCAAACCTTTTTTTCAGGAACCTTCCTGTGCAGTCGTCCAGCCATACGGACGTTTTTACCAGGAATCATCCTGTGCAATCTTCCGGCCATTCAGGCCCTTTTACCAGGAACGTACCTGTGCAATCCAACAGCCGTGCGGACCTTTTTTCCAGGAACCTACCTGTGCAATCTTCTGGTCAGGCAGGCCGTTCTGCCAGAGGCATTCCTGTGCAACCTTCCAGCCGTACCAGCCTTTGTACCAGGAAACTTCCTGTGGAATCTTCCGGCCATACGAACCTCGTTTCGAGTAACATGCGACCTTTGAGCTATATGGACCTCCTTCACGGGAATTCCCCTCTGCAGTTATCCTTATCGGACCTCTCAGGCTTTACCCCACCCATCCTTGTGACACCATCCAACTGTGTGGATCCAGATATCAGCTGCTTTTCTCCTGAATACGAACTCCAGAAGCTACAGGCAGCAGGGCCCAGATTGCCATCCACGTATGAGTGCAAGAAGTGTGGGAGAACGTTTCCCCTGCCTCAGTCTGTGGGCGGACACATGTCCAAACATAAGAGAGGTAAGCTGACTGCTGCTTTCATTCAAGTATGTATACTTTTTTGTAGTGTATTTCTGGTTTTTACCTTCTTGGCTCTGATTGCAGAGGAGAGGCTAAAGAAAATCAACAAGAGGAAGGCGGAGGCACATGCTCGAAAGGCCGCAGAAAGCTTATGTGGGCTGCAGAAAACATCATTGTCTCCGGAATTTTCCGGCGGCGCTGAATATCCACCAGATGCTCTTAGCCTGCGAAAGAAAAGGAGTGCAGTAGCAACAGTAAACCCAGTTGCGATTTCCCTGAAGGGAGATCAGCACCAGCAGCCTTGTCTTGACGCAGCCACTCAGTCTCTGCAGCAGCTGCTGCTTGATCAGCAGATACTTCAACATCAGCTCATCATGCTGCCACCAGATTGTGTGCTGGTGCCTCCTGCATCACCCCTGGCGGATCCTTCGTCAAAGCAGCATGAGAATCAGTTTTGTTTCGTATCTGCCCCGCATCAGCAGCAGCAAGAGAGCAAGATACGTTCTGGAGCAACGCTGGTGATGGTGCCTCCTGCATCGCCCCTTGTGGGTCTTAAAGCTCAGCATTATGAGGATGAGGTTCATCTTAATCCAGTCCCATACCAGCAGCACGAGGCGACTGATGCATATTGCGTTCTTGCACCAGGTGGGGTACCAAGGTTTGTTGGGGTGAAGAGGATCGCGCCCGAAAGGATTTTGCCGTCAGCCGTGCAGTATCAGGACAAGTGCAGTCATGGGACTATGCCAAACACTCTAAGCGGCTCACGTAGGCTGGACCTAGACCTGAATTCCACTCCTGCAGTTTATGACGAGCCATAAGAGGATGATCTAGATTTGAGGCGTTTGTATAATGGGCAATATAGGGATGAAGGTTGTGCGTGGGATTGCACGTTTTTGCTTTCTGTCAAACATATGCATATGTTACTTTTCTGGGTAGGCTGTAGTGGGGTAGATACTGTGGGGTATAACCCCTTAGGGTTTCTCTCTTGTACCAACTCTCTCGAAAGTCAACCCCGTTCTCGGCCCCGCGCGCCGCGTTAGCCGCCCGCGCGGCCTGCTGCCGGCCAGCGCGCCGCCTAAGCCGCCCGCGCGCAGCCCGCTTAGGCCCCGCCCGCGCAGCCCGCAGCCGCACGCAGCACGCAGCCGCGCGCAGCCAGCAGCCACGCGCAGCCCGTCACCACGCGCAGCCAGCAACCACGCGCAGCCCACAGCCACGCGCAGCCCGCAGCCGCGCGTGCCCTGCCAGTGTGCCGCCCGTGAGCCGTGCGCCTGCCTGTCTTAGCCTGCCTGGAGAGCCTGCCTTAAGTGCCTGCCTGACAAGAGCGCCTGCCTGCCTTGAGTGCCTGCCTGCCTTGAGCTGCCTTGCCTGCACTGCTACTATGGCGACGCTTAATGTGCTCGAGTTCGATCCAGACGGTCGTCCCGTAGAGTTCGCCACCTGGCTCGATGACCTGCAACTGTTCCTCCTGACTGATGCCAAGGACGGTGTTTCCCTGTTCGATTACGTGTCTGGCACTGCCGTTGCTCTTGCTGACACTGAGACTGCTCTAGCCCGCTCCCAGTGGCAGACCCGCGATGCTGCTGCGCGCCTAGCTATTCGCAACCATCTGCCGATCACAGAGCAAGCGCATTTTAGCCAGCACAAGACTGCCAAGGCACTGTACGAAGCTGTAGTTGCCCGCTACTCTTCCCCGGCCACTGCAGCCCTCGGTCGACTTATGCTACCCTACCTGTTCCCCGACCTGTCCTCGTTTACCACCACTGAGGACCTCATCTCTCACCTACGCGCTAGTGACACTCGCCTTCGTGCCGCCCTTCCAGCCGAGTTCCTCGCAGAGAACCACCCCCCGATGTACTTTACTCTCTACTTCCTCATCACCCGCCTCCCTGACACTCTTCGCTCAGTCAGGGATCACTTCCTCGCCCTTGACCCCCATTCTCTCACTGTCGACGACCTCGAGAAGCACCTCCTAGCAGCCGAGAAGAACATTCTAGCTGTAGGTGCTGCTCGTGGTACTCCCCGCACTCCCCTCTTTGAGGGAGGCTCACGTAGGCTGGACCTAGACCTGAATTCCACTCCTGCAGTTTATGACGAGCCATAAGAGGATGATCTAGATTTGAGGCGTTTGTATAATGGGCAATATAGGGATGAAGGTTGTGCATGGGATTGCACGTTTTTGCTTTCCTCATAATGGGATGCTTTAAATGTGACACATGTCGTACCGGTAGATAGCCTGTATAGTAGTCTCAGAATAGGAATGCAACGGAATGATGAAACTAGGAAGTGTGGAAGTACAAATATGCAACCCTAACAACTGTACTCCCTATTGTGATATTCACTGAAGGCCTACAAGCATAGAATTACATTTGACACACCCCCATAGGCTAAGTGAGGGGCATCAAAGCAAGCAAGGTGAACAAACGGTCACAAGACCAGTCAAAGCAAGAAACAAGGCAAGCTCAGGGTGGATCTCAAGGATACCACACAAATTCCGAGCGCAAGCAAGCGGCCACAAGGCCAGTTCAATAGTTCACTAGGATATAAATAGGAAGCACAACAAGCAGAGCAAACAACAAGACTACAGCAACCGAGGGCCTACCTCAACAAGCCCCAACTGCACACAGAACCTGTGGTGATCACCAAGCGCCAAGGCCTTGGTGAAGACGTCTGCAGTGTTGGCCTCTGAGGCCACAAAGTCCAGGCGTGCCTGGCCGCGTCGCTGCAGCTCTCACAGGAGGAAGTACCTCACGTCAATATGCTTCACTCTGCTCTCCAGTCGAGGCTCTCGACACAGGAGGATCATGGCCTTGTTGTCAGCGTACAAGGTCGGTGCAGAGCGAGGCTGCTCACCAAGGTCGGCGAGCAAGAAGGTCAACCAGCGAAGCTCCTGTGCCGCCATGGCTCCAGCGTAGATCTCTGCCTCTGCACTGGAAGTAGCCACAAACGACGACCGTGTAGACCTCCACGACACAGCACCAGCTCCCAGACTGAAGCTGTAACCCTGAGTCGAGCGCTGAGTCTCCACGTCGTCAGCGTAGGAAGAGTCGCAGTGACCAGTCAACGCCACTGGCTGAGTCCCTCCAAGCACAAGCCCCATGCCTGATGTAGTTGCCAGGTACTTCGCCACCCTCACAGCAGCTGTCCAGTGGACAGGACGGTGTCTCCCAGTCGCAACAAATCGAGAAAGGATGCTGAGGGGAAAGGCGAGGTCCGGTCGAGTACAAGTCATCAGGTACATGAGGCAGCCCACCAGCTCTGCGTAGGGTCCACTCGACTCAAAGGGCTCGTCAGGAAAGGGGCCCGTGAGTCTGTGGTCAACAGCAAGAGGAGTGGGCTGTGTGGTGGAGAACTGGAAGTCGAACCGCCGAAGGACCTGCTGCACCATGTGTGACTGCGTCAGTGTGATGGTGCGAGCGGCTCTGTCCCGGGTGATCTGCAGGCCAAGGTAGCGCTGCAGCTCACCCAGGTCAGTGCACTTGTGTCTCTTCTGCAGTTCGGACTTCACCTGAGCCAGGGCTGCCCTGTCTGCTGTAGCAAACACCAAGTCGTCGACGTAGACAAGGATAAAGAAAGGAGTAGAACCCGCTCGAACAAACAGCGACGGGTCGGCGGAGGACGGGCTGAACCCAAGGTCACGAAGCGTGGAGCGAAGAGTGTCGTGCCACTCACGGGGCGACTGGCGGAGACCGTAGACTGGTCGCCTCAGGCTCCACTGGGTCCTAGGTGGGAAGGTGTCAGTGAAGCCAAGAGGACGGCGCAGCCAGATCTCCTCGTGCAGTTGGCCCTGGAGAAACGCAGTGCAGAAGTCGAGGGAGTGCAGCTCGTAGTCTCGCTTCGCTGCTATGTGGAGTAACACCCGAAGAGTAGTCATCTTCGGGGTCGGGGCGAAGGTCTGGAAGAAGTCAACTCCCTCACGCTGACTGAAGCCCCTAGCCACGTAGCGCGCCTTGAACACTGGCGGTGCTCCAGGCGGCCGCTTCACCTTGAAGAGCCACATGCCATCGACTACGTTCGCCCTGGGAGGGGGAACTGCGTCGACGTAGGTGCCTGTGGATCTCCAAGACGCCAACTCTGAGTCCATAGCCGCTTTCCACTGAGAGGCCCACGCCCCTGACACTGCCTCGCGGTAAGTGCGAGGAGTCGATATGTCAAGGGCGTCGGGGTCTCCCTCAGGGGAGAGCAGCATGGCACACACAGAGGGAGAAGCGGCTGCCCAGTACTCCAGCTCAGACTCTCTGTCCTCTAGGACGTCACAGCCAAGGGCAAACCCACCCCCGACGGACAGAGGACGGTAGGGAGGAGCTGGCACCACACGGGTGGTGTAATCAAGGCGGCTGGCGGCAGCAAACTCAGCGACAGCGGCAGTAAGAGCCGAGGCAGACGACGGAGGGAAACGAGAGTCGGTGACAAGAGTGGCGAGGACACGTGCGGCAACAGGATGAACATAGTGGTAGTAGTCAGAGATAGGACTGGGGAGGGCTGGGAGAGAGGACGGGGGAGGAGACGGGAGAACGGACACAGGAGAAGGAGAACGACGACGAGACGAACAAAGGAGGGCAGTGTGGAGGTCAGTAACAGGGGACGAGTGACGAGCACGCGGAGGACAACGAGTGATCAAGTCGTGACGGACAGAAGGAGGAGGAGACTGAGGAGGAGGAGAAGACCAGACCGCTGGACGGTCGTCAGGAGGAGGCAACGGAGGAACAAACACAGGAGGAGACTGGGAGCGGACAGGAGGAGAGGAGGAAAGGCCAAGGGCCCGTAGGCCACTCACAGGTGGGAACAGCTGCCGCTCCAGAGGAAGCTGCGGTGGTGGCTGCGGCTGCTGCTGCTGCGGCGGCGGCTGCGGCTGCTGCTGCTGCGGCTGCGGCGGCGGCTGCGGCTGCTGCGGCGGCGGCTGCGGCTGCTGCTGATGCTGCTGCCGCTGCTGCTGCTGCCGCTGCTGCTCCAGAAGGTCCAGCACCTGCAGCTCCTGTCGCTACCTCTCCAACGGCTCCTGCTCCTCACGCTCGCGCCGACGGGCAGCCTGGAGACGCGTGTCGTGGCGGTGGGGAGGCGGAGTGGACTCCGCAGAACCAGGGTCTCCAGCTCCAGTCTCCTTAGACTCAGCACCCCCAGAAACAACACCTCCAGTGTCAGGACCTCCAACTCCAGCACCCCCAGAACTAGCACCCCCAGTGCCAGCACCTCCAGTCCCAGCACCCCCAGAGCGAGCGCCACCTGCGCCAGCCCCTCCAGCTCCAGCACCCCGCGAACGAGCACCCCCAGACCACGCACCGCCAGCGGCTGCACCTCCAGCTCCAACACCAACCAAGTCCACAGGAACCTGTCGCGGAAGTGCCGAAGGCTGCTGAGGGGACTGTGAGGAGGACAGCGGGGAGGGAGACGCTACCTGACGCGCGACCGAGGGTAGAGGGGTAGCGTGGGACACACCAGACGGGGCAGGACCAGGGGGGGGAGGGGGTACCGGAGGAGTAGGAGCAGGAGGAGGAGAGGGTGCTAGGAAAAGGGGGGGAGGGGGTACCGGGAGACCTCGACAGGGGTACCGGGTGTAGTAGGACACAGACTCGTCAAACCGGACGTCACGGGAGTCTAGGAACTGGTGGAGGGGCGGGTGGTAAAAGGACCAGTCGGCAGAGTCAACTGGGAAACCAAGGAAGACACAGGGGACGGCGCGTGCCGAGAGCTTGTCCGCGGAGGTGTCGCGAACAAGCGCAAGGCAGCCCCAGACTCGAAAGGCCGACCCAACACCAGGGGAACCAGTCCAAAGACTGGTCGGTGAAGCCTCGGGCCGCGAGACACGCGGCTGGAGGTTCAG